ACTGACACCCGGAATGTATGTACATGCTTGTGGATTATATATATATATATATATATATATATATATATAAAGAGAGAAAGTTGAATTATCATGGTACCGATCATGTATCGGAAAATTTGAAAATTTGATTCAAAACCCAAATCTAAATTCTTAGATTTTGCATATCCAAATTTTATATATTTTGCAGATATTTAAATATTTATAGATGTCCATAAGAGATGTATTAGACTAGATATTTAAATATTTGTAAATATGTTGAAATTAAATAATTTTTTTTTATAAAATGTATACCGGAGTACAAGTTGTGTTCTTATAACATGAAAATGTATGGCGCCACATGATTTTTGATTTAAAATAAAATTGGGAGTAACATGATTCACGAATGTACACTTTGGAGTGTTTGTATCTCGGATGAAGATTACACGTGATAATTAAATAGGCTCCCAAATGCGCGCGCATACACACACACACACACACACACACACACACACACACACATACATACATACATACATACATACATACATACATACATACATACATACATACATACATACATACATACATACATACATACATACATACATACATACATACATACATACATACATACATACATACATACATACATACATACATACATACATACATACATAAATGCTTTGCAGATGAAAATGAAAGTACTAGATTTTGGAAGGGTTAGGACCAAACCCTATGCTTAAGCCACATGACATGCTCCATCACTCTACTTGTTAAGTGGCTTTGGAACTTGATATCTTACTTTCCGTCTTTCATATGGCAGTTTAGGGTTTTAGATTACGTCTTTTTTTCCTCTAGACTTTTTTGTGTCATGGCTATATATATAATCTTTGTTAAAACCAATTTATCTACTTCTATATTGTTTCCAATTAATTTGATTTAAATATTGAAATTAGAAATTGATGACTAGTGTACAAGCTTGTCTACGCTTATATTGAGAATTTTACTTATCTCGTAAACTAAGAATTTATCGGACCGATCGGATATTTAAATACATCGTCAACATATCGAACGTTCATGACATTTCCGAGTTAGCTGAAGCAAAATTACAATTAATACAAACACATTTTTGGTATTGGATTAGGGTTTCCGATCGGATATTTAAATACATCGTCAACATATCGAACGTTCATGACATTTCCGAGTTAGCTGAAGCAAAATTACAATTAATACAAACACATTTTTGGTATTGGATTAGGGTTTCCTCTTGAAATTCTAAGCCCCCCCCCCCCCTGTAAAGTTGTTCTTTAACCCTTTTTTTTACAATCTTCCAATATTGTAGCCACGAGAAGAACGGGACAAAATAATAATTAATTTTGAATTTTATACAGATCCCATATATATATATATTCACTACGTATCATGTTTTAATGTTAAATTGGAAAAGGTTCAATGAGACACATTTATTTGAACCAATGCATTTCACCCATACAAATAGTCGGACATAGGCGTAATTGAATTGCATTCGCAGCATATTTGAATTCGATTTCGCTTGAACAAGTTGGTCTCATCCCATTAATTTGCAAAAGGTTTTTAATGTCAAAGATATAATACACACACATATATATATACACACAAAAGTTTTGTGATAATTTTATTAATAAGGTCGATCGACAATACAATAATTACGTTATCTCGTCGTTACATATCAAATCTTTTACATAAGATTGACTTTGCATGGAACCCGTCGGGGACATGTCGGACAGGATCGGCTACTTTCTAACATGCCTCTTATTGTTTGTCGATTAGGGCAATTCCAAAATGTCTTGTTTTATCTTCCAAAGGCATGTGTGGCATTCAAACAACTCAACCAAAAAAAAATGTTTTTATCATATTAAATGAGCATAATTATATCCTAAATTTTCACATTCCGAATTCAGATATATATCATATTGAAATCTCAGTATTAGTTTATCGTGACTCGTGACTGATAATGTTAAAATAATGGGTGATCATTGCATTGGTGTTCTAATTAATGATGCGTACCTTGAGATACTTATGGAACTTAAACAAAATAAGTTCCATTAATTAAGTTTTTTTTTTGTTAATGGCCATTAAATAAGTTTAGTAAACCAAATGGGGAAAAGGGCCTAAAAATGTGCACTCGTACAGAAGGTACTACCACTACATAAACATATAAACCGTTATTAAAATATATATATATATATATACACTCGATTTTTTTTTTGTGTTAAATTTACATGAGACTCATAAGTTTTATAATTAAAATATACATTCTTATGTCCCTATTTTGAGATTGAGTAATTTGAAGGAAATTTAAGATCGTTATTTTTTCTTTCATCTGATAATTTCTTGCATAGTTTAATTTATAATCCAAAATTTATTGGAATGCAGTTTAGTTCGGGCTTGATTAAAAATACAGTTTCTGCGCAAAAATTATGAGCTTGTATATATATATATACACATAACTGTTATATCCATTAAATATAAGAAGTTAGATATGGAAGAAGATGGGACAAGTGACAGTGAAGTATGGTGGCAATAATTTGATGCCGTGCCATGAATGTAGATCTTACAAGAACTAATCAACTCTTGTGTGTTCCATATGATCTCATATATATATATATATATATATATATATATATATATGTATATATATGTTCTCACAACACTTTTGTTTCTTACAATTAAACCCTCGTGATTTTTTTTTGTTCTTGCAGATATCACAGATGAATGAATGACTACTAACCGACGGCTACTGATGTCGTTTCTTCTCCATATCCATTCATCCATATATATGTCGTCTTGAATGAGCTCATTGATGATGGACATATAGATCGATCTCTGTTATCAGATGCATTAGGCACATGTGTATGTAAATGCCAAAGTATATGTATGTATATATGTATACATTGGTGAAATTGTAGGGTAGTGTTTGTTCACAACATATATGTGAAACATACACACAGCCCATGTTAGTGGTTAGGTACTGAGTGAGGGAAATGGAGTGTTATATGATTTGTCCTAATGGATCCAAGGCCAACGTCCCTTTCACTGATCTTCTTTTACTCTTTAGTGTGTTTTTTTTTTCTTTCGATTTTTTCCTTTCAAAATAGCACTTTTACCAACCGTAATGAATCCAAAAACCTATATCACAAAAACAATCACTAGCAAACATATACATATATATATATATATATATATATATTGGAATTGATATATATAAAAGGCTTGTTGATTCAACCGAAAAAAATATAATATTAATCATATATATGTATATAATATTCAAGAAGACTGACTATGACTATCACTAATAGCCAAGAAATAATTTTAGGATCGTGTTGAGTCATAGAAAATCACATCAAACAAACAGGAGCCGACAAAATGTAATTTAAAGCTAGGGTTAGATAAAAATGATGTTAATTGATTTGATGATAATATATAATTTCGATTTAATCATAAAAGAAAGTCACATTTTGTGAATTCTGAGTTTGATTATCTAGTATTTTATATCACGTATTATGTTATCTTTGAATCGAAGTTGTTGGTAGTATAACGTTATTCTTTTAACCTTATCCGAATGATTCTATATATGCGTTACATATAGAACCGACAACGCCTACAAAATTAGAAACGTAACTGAAACCCTAGTTGATGTGATTCGATTTCTATCAATGACCGGAACGACCAAAATATTGAATTAATGGACATATGAAATAAAGTAGAATTATAAATAAAGGAACATTGAAATTCAATAACGAACCATGCATGCTTCTCATGGTAGCAAGATCATTCCTAATTAAGGTGGGTTTTGTTAGAAAGAATTCAAAAAGATTGGAAGAATATTTTTTTTTGTATCATTAATTTCAAATGAATTATTAACTCATACGCTACATACAAGTTTCTACGTACCAAATCTCACTAAACCGAATCAAACCGGTCTAAACCCGCATCATATGAATTATGGGCTTAATCTTTCTCAAGGACATGACGCATGGTTCGGTAATAATAGAGTTAACGAGAAGTGCACAGTTTGGTTTTAACGATGAAAGCTTCTTATCAAATGATTTATTTATTTGTATAACGTTATATAATGTTTAATAATTTCACTCGAGTGATTGTTACGGTCGGGCGTATATTTTTGTTGAATTGTCTCCGATTTATATCATTTTTAATTGTTTTGGTCCAAAAATCGTACAATTATTTATTTCCATTTAATTATTGTAGTTAATATGGTTTTATTTTTTCGGTCCATCTCCCGAAATTAAATTGACTTAGATCGATGGTAAGTTTCAACTAATCGTTATTTGTTTATGTATATGTAACATGTATTTTATGATACCACAATAACAAGAAAAATGGTGGTGGGCACTTAGGACCAATCAAATTATATAATGAAAAAGTAGTACTAAAAAAAATATAAATAAATTTGACCACCAATAATACAATTTTCATATGTCACAAGACTCAACAACACATGAATACGACTTATTTTATTAGCTCCTCATTTTCCAATTTGTCAGTCCGTTTTTTACGGACTAGAAAAATTTTAAACGAACAAAAAAATCAGGATGTCAAAAGGATGGAACCGATCCGACCTCATATGTAAATTGGATCAAAAGGTTCGACAAAATTTTGAATTAACGAAAAAAAATTTACAAAATCAAGTTCGGGATCCGGTTCTTCAAGATTCCGATTTCAAATTCGGGTTCGAATCACAGATGGTTGGATTATGGTTTTTTTTTTCAATTTTTTTAATATCGGTTTTTTGAATGGATTCGAAAACCCAATGTTTTCAGTCCCACAAATTCAAATCCGAACCCAATTATTTTTTCAGACGGGCTGGCCGGAGCCCAAATGACACCCCTTAAAAATGAAAACGGTTCATAACCGATTCACAAATGGGCCTCAAAACATACCATATGGGCCTGGGCCTGGGCCTGGGCCTGTGATGATACAGTATCTCCAATTCAAACCCAAGGACTCGACGAAACAATATCTTTACGTAACGGTCCATTATCCTCCAAAAAATTTGGAACTATGAAACTGAAAGAATACACGGAAAAAAAAATATGATACAACCGGTCCAAAGGGACCTCTCTCTCTCTCTCTCTCTATATATATATATGTGCGTGGTTCCTTACACAAAGCCACAGAAGAAGCCAATGTACAACAGATACAGTTTAACAAAAAAGATTCAGAGGATTTACATGTAACATGTTTCAGTTCCACAAAACAGAAGATGAAAGTCCAGTTCCTATATGCTGTCTTCCACGGCTCTTCTCTTCTTGTACGGCATGGACCCGATGAAGTTGTTCATCTCGGGCCTCGGCCTCGGCCGAGAAAACGCGGATCTCTCGCTCGGTTTAAACTCGGGAAAGCGGGTTTCATCTGTCTCCGCATTGCCTGAAGAACAGCGACGAGACTGCGTCTCAGAATCCAAATTCTTGTCAGTATCTTCTGAATCATTCGAACCAGTTGAGGAAGCACCTTCCCGATGAACTGTGCGAGACGTGAGAAAATCTGTTGTATCTACATTTATCCGAAGAGATTCTAGATCGTTCGCTGCTGGGACCGACGCCTTCCTCGCCAATGGATGAATCGGTGCAAGCGTTTTTACATCATAAGCTGAACCATTGACTAAAACCGTTGTCCCAAAGAGCTTGAGGGTTCGAACAGTTGATTCGGGAGATGACTCCTCGGTATGAGATGATTCATTCCCGTGGAATACGAGAGAGAGATGGTCGTCTGCAGATGAATTGGGCGAACTTGAACCCGTGAAACCCAAAGGCTCTGACCCGAGAGCTGATAACACTGACGTGGGAGACTGGTTTTCGTCCTCAGAGACCAACTTCGATCCATATCCCTCCGAGATGGTTTTACAAGTGGGGAGTATTAACTTCCTAGGATAAGGATGAACCGGCTTTCGCTTCGGCCGTGGAGGCGGAATTTCAATGGACTCATCAGAGGTAACACCGCAATCACGAGCAACCTGTTCATAACATAAGAATTTAGACGTTGTTCGTGTAAATAATCGCCCTTGATTCGCCCCCGAAAAAAGATTGAAACTTACTCAAGTACATTGTCGTGTAAAAACAGAATGGGGAGTAAAAGGGTGGGGTTTTTTTTTTTTTGTGGAACAAGAGAAGTAGAAACCTTGGTAAAGAACTTCTGAGCGTGGCTTCGAATCTGAACAGCTGTCTTTGTTCCAACATGTTCTGTTCCACGGAAAATCATAACGAATTCACATCTCTACGGAATGTAGCCAGTCCTATTATTCTATTCGAATCGTATAAGGGTTAATATATATATATATATATATACCTTGTATGCATCTCCATGCTCGACCGTACAGCTTCAAGGCGTCTACAAACTTCATATGCTCCTCCTCTGTCCATTTCTCTCTCTGTTTCGTGATGGTGTATGGCTTTCTTGCCTATTATTACAAGAGAGAGAGAGACCCAGCGTCTGAATTCAGACAGAACAGATCAACAAATAGGACATCCAATCCAGAGAAAAGCAAGGCCAGTACCTTGAGGTTGAAGGCCTTTGCACACGAAATGGGCTCATCACAAAGCACATTTTCCCCACTCGAATGGATCATTCTACACTGTTCCTATACGCAGAAACCCAAGAAGAACATTTTGGTTCAGCTACATCACTTTTTGGTTATAGAGAATGTTTCGACTGGCTGCTTCCAAGGCCAAGGCATATGAATTGAAAGACAACTTGTTCACAAAACTCTTTTGAATTCCTAATAAAGATCGCAACTTTCTCTCTCGTTCTGGGTACAAAGCTCGAAACTTTCTCATCCTGCAGCATCTTTTGAACATTGCGTATATTGCGGAAACAGAACTAAGATCAGAAGTAGAATAAAGCAGTAGAAACTAAGACTGAAGTTCGAATTTCCCTAATCAAATGGTGACAAATTCAAACGTAATCCATGGATATTTAATTAATCAGTAATCACCCAAGCAAAGATCAAAACGGTTAAGAGAGAAGAAGCGTCCAGACAAACATTCGAGAAAGAAGTTAACTCAGCTTGTCTGAAAGCCAACAGTTCCCAGATTTAGGCAAATCTAAACTCTATCTTCAAATGACAAAAACATGAAGCCAAACAGTACGATTAATCCCCAAAAAATCTAGCCCTAGTGATCTTTTGGGAATTATTTCAGGGAAATGAAGAAGAAGAAGAAGAAGAAGAAGAAGAAATATCTCATACCTGAATTTCCATGGCTGCAGAAGAAGTCTTGAAATCTCGGAACTTAGAAAGAACAAAACCCAGAAAAGACCCTGGATTTACAGTTCAACGATGGAACCCTAACTTCGCTCCTTCTTCCCCTTTGGCTGCGTTTCGTGACCACTTAAAATCTCACAGCCGCAGAAAACGACGTCGTATCACAAATCGGTTCCTAATTCCGGGAACGAAACCGTTTGTGGTTTCTTGAAAGGCGAAGAGGTATTGCTCTTAACGGCGGAATTCTCCCCGGAAAAACCGAAAACCGGACTGTAATTCCACCGGAATACCACTGATCTGAGACGGAGAGAAACGACGAGAAAAGACGTCTTTGAAGATATGTTCAAGAGAAACAGAGTACCCAACGAGGGAGCGGTTATGGTTGCTTTTTAAGAGTAGGAAGAAGAAAGGGAGGAGCTGCCACGTCAGCTTCTGGTGCTATTTTTGCAATTAGTATTATTTTTTCAAATAAAAAGAGAGAGGTCGAGAAAGAAACCAGTTCAATCTTGTGGCCGAGGTCCAAAGATGTCCGACACGTGGCGAGTGTATGTTTCATCGCACCCGCTTTGTCTTTTTTGAAGAAGATATTATCTTTTCTTTTTATCCATCTGAAAAATGTTTTGTAGCCACTCAAAAAACATAAAGGTCGAGCATCACGCGAGGTACTCACGCGTGGTGTTCACGCTCCAAATGAAATGTTCATTTCAGGGTAATTTCTTGTTCCGCGCAACTCAAATCAATTATTATTATTTTTTTACAATTTTCCCATAAAAGAACTGTCAACAGCAATAAAAAAAATCCGCTTATTCGAAATAATTATTAGGATATAAAAAAATTATGCTATAATATTTTTCTCTCTAGATTTATAATCTTTAGACTAGACTCAAAGATCCAGATTTTTTATAAAAATATAATAAATGTTTCTTAGAGGTAAAACAAATAAAAATGAATTTATTCGAGTGAAAAAAAGTAAGCATGTACTAATTTTGATTTTGGTCAAAAAGTTTTTCCGTCGAAGAAAATGTAAGACCTCATGGTCTTTGAAAAGCCGTATGTGGCCACGAGCGCGAGTAATAAAGAAACATATACTCGAGCGTGGTACGAAAAAAAAGAGCAGACAAACGGATATATTTGATTTAAAATAAAATTCTTGGGATATTTTATGTGAACGACAAAAATCACTGAAATATCTGAATGTCTTTTCTGAAAATAAAACGAATTTAACATGACTTTTCAATAATTTTGCGCTTTATTGCCACGTCAGCAAAGTGCCTTCTCGAGGCTCCAAAAGGCGGCCACGTGGAAGGAAAGAGATGGAGAAAGAACGGGATATGGATTATTAAAGGCCACTCGATTTTGCTATGATCGAGCTCTTAATTCAGATTTAATTACGACCACTCGTTATACTTCATTTTCTTTGGACCGACTATGCATATAACCTATAATCCACTAAATAAAGACAATTAAAAGGGTTTCGAGTATCGATAAGTGATGTCATAAAACCCGATTAAAAATTGCTTAGTACTCTGTAATATGTGATTTTAACATTGTGTAATTATTACGGTTTTCAGTTGGGAAGATTTCGAATATTTTTAGATCTATAGGAAGATTGTAATTTCCATTGGCTAGTTGACTTAAGAGTTTGTGAAGTTTAGTTGGATGGTTTGGTTAACAAATCCCAATTTTAGAGATTTATTGAAATTACAATGATTTAAATCACTTTTATCGAGTTTAATTTTAAAAAACAAAATCAAAGAATCATGGAATCATAAAATTGTCAAGAGATATGCACGATACCAAATAATAAAAGGAGAGGACATAAATCAAATGTACGGAAGAACATTTTTACTTTGGAGGTGAGAGAGCATACATTAGATTTATATTCAAAAGCAAATTTTAAATTTGATTTCTGATCTTATATTAGGTTTGTCACACATGTCTTCAAAATTGCCTTTAGATTTGATTTGTGGCCCATCTTACATTATGGTTTACAGTGGTCCTAACCAAGCTCACACTGTCATTTATTTAAATTCATTCATTATCAATAACAATAACAATAACAATAATAATAATAATAATAATAATAATAATAATAATAATAATAATAATAATAATAATAATAATAATAATAATAATTACTTCACATTTTGTTAGAACTTAGCTTCCACTCCTATGATTCTAAACACGGTGTGTGGGTTTTTTACAATGTCGAAATCCTATATTCTTAAAATTATTCAATTTATATATATTTCTCTTTTGAATTTTGGTCAGATTTCTTTTCTTTTTTAGAAGTTTTGAATAAAAGTTTATTTGATTTATTTCTATATACGTTTTAGTACTATAAATAATAAATATTTCATTTTTTGTCACAGTTATTTTTTATTTGATAAAAACTATATATATATATATATAAAATCTTGAAATTGGAGTGTGGTATGAGAAGAACCATTGTTGATAAAAATCAACTTGTAAATACTGAATATAAAAAAAAACAAAAACCATTGTTTTTTTTTAATTTAAGGGGAAAAAAGCAAAATATATGGTGAGTTGAGTGGGGGGTATTTTTGCTATATTGCCGAGTTGAGTTGGTGGTGTGAAATTTGGCATGGGAAAATGAGAATTATACCAATCGACCGACGGGGACCATCACACAACGAAGAGCATGTGACCTGTGGACGTTGACCACTGTTTGGATATGCACAAAAAAAAGTTTTTTTTTTTTTTTCTGTTTTACGCATTTACAAAAACTATATTCTACATTTGTGTAGTCAAACAAACCGACTAAAAAACATTTTTTTAATAAAATTCCGTAACTATTCACTCAAAATAATCAATTATTTTTTGCAGTCGATTTCATTTTTAATGAATCAATTTGGATTAGAAACAAACTTATATATTGCGACATATTCACGAACATATAGTGTACATTTTTAGATAAAATCTATTTAAATTACAAAAAATTCTGAAAAATTCAGACCGACTTATCATTGTATAATTACTTATTTTGACATATAGTCTATTGTTTTTCAATCCTAAAATGTAGGTGATAAAAATGGGAATATACAATAATATAGGGGTTGAAATGAAGTTCTCCAAAATATAAAATAGCATAAGTTATTAATCCCCTCCGCAACTGCCTTTTCACCTACTGCGAGTTGTCCCGTCTTTAATATCTTCTCTGTCATTGACGAGCAGATCACCTGTCCTTTGACGATCTTCGCTTCTCCGCCGGAAAATCTTTTCACGTTTCGATATCCGGTGTAGGGGGAGGAGTTCGGATCTGATCGGTTGAATCTGTTCTCGCTTTGTGGCGGGAGGGAAAGCACCATGGCGTTTGACAAGATCAAGGTGACCAATCCCATCGTCGAGATGGACGGTGAGATCTCTCTCTCTCTCTCTCGCTGGCTTCGGATATCTCCTTTACTGCTTTTCGAATCCATTGGCGATGATGCGGATTCCGCTTTTTGTTTATTTCTAACGATGTTTTGTGATCCTTCGAATCTGATTCGATGGGGCATACGCTTGGGAATGTGTAATCTGGTTTTCTTCCATGCCCAGTTCATTTTTTGCCTGTACCGTAATCGTGCTTATGTAACCTTTGGTTCCCCCCCCCCCCCCCGGCA